CCCTTTCAATATCATCAGCCCAGCCTGAGAGCTTCCTGGAGTGGGGGAAGGAGTCTTAGATCATAGAATTTAGAAGACTGGGAGAGCATCTAGTCCAGCTTCCTGGTGTGACAGAGCAGGAGACAGTGGCCCAAAGAAGGGAAGGGACTTGCCCTTCATCCAGGAGGTTGGGGCAAAACTGGGACTGCAGCCCTAGCCTCAGCACACCTCACTGTCTCTTCCAGGGACAGGGGGCCTCACGAAACAGGCTCATGTCTTAAGGGTGCATGTGGCTCCCTAACCAGCAATCACCCTTGGGGGCCACCAGGTGGGAGGAGCACTTCTGCCTGAGTCCATGCCTTAGGATGACACACACTCTGCCCATATAACTTTGGCTCCAATTCGAGGATGTGGAGCCTTTCCTGGGCCCTGACCCCCTCCCTACCCTGGGAACCTGGGGAAGGGGCTGGCCTTGGGAGGAACTGCAGGGTCATCACCTCTTTCTGCTGCTTCCCCCCACCTCCCACCTCCCTGAAGGACCTGGAGGCTGCCCAGCTGCCTCTGCCCTCTTGGGGGTCTCGGCCCACTGCTGACACTTCTGCAATCCAGAGAAACACTAAATAAAGCAATATGTGTTTGCCAACATTGGTCTCCTTGTGGATGTTAGGAAAGGGACAGGACCCCTAAAAGGTAGCCAAGGGTCTTGTATTTTAATTTTTACCCTGGTCCCAGAAGAAAGGAGGCAGGGCCAGGGAAAGAGCGGGTGTGACCAGTAGCTGCAGCTTTAGCTTGCTCTTTCATTGATGTCTCCTGAAGGGCAGCTCAGCCTGGCCCAGCGCTGTGGACTGGGGGAAAGGACACACAGTCCCTTGCCTATGGGCATCAGCACCGTGGGCAGGGCTGGCACAAAAACGCAGCTCAAATTTGTGGGAAGTACAGGCGCCAACAGGCAGACCCACAAGCGACTGACGGGGTATGTGTGTGTGTGTGTGTGTATGGCGGGGTGGGAGTGGGGGAGTGTAGGGATGTAAACACTTCACAGAGAAGATGACATTTGAGGTGGGTCTCAAAAGATAGTCTCCAAATTCTGTTGCAACTGACAAACCCAATCAGAATGACTTGGGCAGAAAAGGACATTTTTTAGCATTCACAATGTAACAGCCCCAGGGTTGGGCTGATTCCAGGTATTCAGACAACATTGTCACAAATGTGTTGAACTACTTCTTTTCAGCCTTCCTTTGTGGTAGCTTCATTCTCAGGCAGGTTCTCACCTTGTGGTATGGTGGCGGCAACAGCCACCAGCAGCTTCGGGTTTTCATTCTATGAAGCTGGCATCGGAGGTGGAAAGAAAATGTGCCTCTTTCTGGTCGATTCTCAGTGGACCACCTTGAATGAGGTGGTCTTCCCTGACCCAAGCCCTGTAGTAGGAAGAAGGGCATATTTTGATGTGTGCCTGCCAGGCCTGGGTCATGTACCTACCCCCATGCCCAAACAAGTGGCATGAACCACACCTGACTGCAAGGACCAAAAGTGGGGGCAGATAACTTCCCAAAAGAAAATCAGTGTTGCCTCCAGAAGAAAGGGGATAAGTGTTGCAAACTGCTACCATAGAACTCAGCAGCTAAGAGTTTTCCCAAGTGGGACAAGTGTTGCAAATGGAAGGAATGGCAGGCCTTCATGGCAAGAAAATGTGTAATTTGGGGTTAGGCTGCCTGCTGAATTTAGATTCATCACCTAGGGCAGAAGTTCTCCATGAATGAGATACCATATCTTGGGCTTGACAAAATCCTGGGAGCACACCTAGATTTTGACACCTCCCCCCAAATTAATTTACAGAAAAATGAAAGCACCACAATAATTTGTCCACTCTATCAGTAGTAACAGTGGCTCCAAGAAGCCAACAGATAAGATAAATCCCCGCGTTAGATGCAATTACCAGCTTTACAACTGGAACAACATTCCTTTCGCTAGCCAATTGGTATGCATGGGAGAGTGATGTCACAGACATAACCCAGATGCANAATAGCTCGTTCAACCACTCCCTCATTCATGTCACTCAGTGAGCCCTGACAGCCAGGCCCTTGGCTAGTTTCCTTGAGCCCTGGCCAACTGACTTTCTTTCCCAACCACAGCCACGAAGATCCAGGCCTCCTGGAAGGGCTTTCATTGGCGGCAGAAATTCCTCCGTGTGAAGCGATCAGGTTCGGGAGACCCAGGGGTCTTTAGGAAGGGCAGGTATGGGGCTAGGGTGGGCCAACATGGTGAGACAGAGGTCAGCTGTCTGTGGTCTCTGCAGCCATCTGCATCCAGTCGTGGTGGCGGGGAACACTTGGAAGGAGGAAGGCCGCCAAGAGGAAGTGGGCGGCACAGACCATTCGGAGGTGAGCAGTGGGGTACACCAGGGGGTGCAGAGCAGGGCGTGTGTAGGCGTCTGTTGTCAGACTTCCCACCCCCATCTCTGTCGGGCCTCCCCACTCCCAGGCTCATCCGAGGCTTCATCCTCCGCCATGCACCCCGCTGCCCCGAGAATGCCTTCTTCCTGGACCATGTGCGCACATCTTTTTTGCTCAACCTGCGGCGGCAGCTACCCCGGAATGTCCTGGACACTTCCTGGCCCACTCCCCCACCTGCCCTGCGTGAGGTCTGTGGACCCTCCCTGCTGACTTAGGGACCTTTGCAGCACTCAGTGGAGGGGCCCAATCATTATGTGGCCAGAGAAGCCATCAGGAGGGCTCCCCAAGGGAGAGGACCTGGAGCTGGGCCATGGGGGATGAGTTTTTTGGAGAGAAACGATTCGGGATTGGAAGTGTTGTCCAGGTTGAAGGGATGTCACTTAGGCCAAAGCCCCGTGGCGGGCATACGCCTACTGCCCTCAGAGGGAAGGGAGCCAGGCCGCCTAGGTCCCCTGACCTCGCTTGTGCCCACAGGCCTCGGAGCTTCTGCGGGAATTGTGCATGAAGAACATGGTGTGGAAGTACTGCCGGAGCATCAGCCCTGAGTGGAAGCAGCAGGTATGGAGAGCGAGGAGGCAGGCCGGGACTAGCCAGGGGCCAGGGGAGCAGTGGGCACCACTTAAAGAGTGCTGGCCTGGGGGAGCACTTTATCTGTGATTTACCACGTGACTTCAAATGCATTCCAGCCCCTCTTTTGGCCTCATGTATGAAGCAGAGGCTGGAGAAGATTGAGGGGGTGGAAATAGGGTTCATCTTCTGGGCCAACCCCACTGGCCTGGTAGAGGCTGCCCAGAGCTCTGGGTTGATAAGGCTGTAGCTTCAGTCTGATCGATTGGTAGTGTCTGCCATGGTTCCAGAGACAGACATTGGTAGCCAATGTGCCTTGTATTTGCCAACTCAGGATAGGGTGATACTAAAGGACCCATCCAGCTCAGATAACCTGTAGAAGTTTTGAGTATTACAATCAGCTAGCTTCAAGATTCCATGTTGAAGCTGAACCTGCGGGACTGCAGGGCCTGATATGAGGGGAATTATCCCCCAAATTGGGCCTGGACCCTGATAATGCTGTCATGACCCTTCCAGGGAGCCCTCTCCCTTGGTTGGTAGAGCCGGGGGCGAGGTAGAGGAGGCGCTGATGGGAGTGTTGGTGGCAGGGCTCAGCCTCCTGGTGTTGGGGGCAGAGAGGGTGAAGGAAGCTGCCTCAGCTTCTGAAGCTGGCATGGCCACCCCCCATCATGATGGTCCCCACCCTCTGACACTCCTCCCCGCCCTTGTCTCCTCAGCTGCATCAGAAAGCCGTGGCTAGTGAGATCTTCAAGGGCAAAAAGGACAATTATCCCCAAAGCGTCCCCAGGCTCTTCATCAACACACGGCTTGGTGAGATCTTGACTTTCCAGTGATCAAACCCCCCATCACCATCCTAGGCCCCTCTTTCCTCCTCTGATTTCCCTCTCCCTGATCTGGGTTGCAGGTGCAGACGAGATCAGCCCCAAAGTGCTGCAGGTGCTAGGCACTGAGCCCATCCAGGTGAGACCCTGCCTGCCACCCTTAGTCCAGCATGGTTCTGCTGCCCAAGGGCTGGATGGGGGTCTCAGGGCCTGGACAGAGGGTGAGGGGGGTTATCCCTGGAGCCCCCTCAGCAGCTCCCCTGCCCCTCACTCCATCCTCTGTCCCCAGTATGCTGTGCCTGTAGTGAAATACGACCGCAAAGGCTACAAGCCCCGCTCCCGGCAGCTGCTGCTGACGGCCAGTGCTGTGGTCATCGTGGAGGATGCCAAAATCAAGCAGAGGATTGATTACACCAACCTGACCGGTGAGCCAGAGTCCAGGGCAACACAGGGAGGGCCCCTGCTCTGACCCTTGAACCCTGACCTCTGCCCTTCCCCCTCAGGGATCTCCGTCAGCAGCCTGAGCGACAACCTCTTTGTGCTGCATGTGCAGCGTGAGGACAACAAACAGAAGGTACCCATTTGGCGGCTGGGAGACAGGGTGGGGCTGGCTTCTCCAGCTCTGGGCAGAGCCTGACCCCTCCCCCTCCCCTTGCCTGGGTCTCCCAGGGGGATGTGGTGCTGCAGAGTGATCACGTGATTGAAACACTGACCAAGACCGCCCTCAGTGCTGACCGTGTGAATAATATAAACATCAACCAGGGCAGGTGAGGCAAGTAGGGGGAGTGAGGGGCCGTGTGCACACACGTGGGCAGGCCTCACACACCCCCTGCCTTCCAGCATCACGTTTGCAGGGGGCCCTGGCAGGGACGGCATTATCGACTTCACATCTGGCTCGGAGCTGCTCATTACCAAGGCCAAGAA